ATATATATATATATATATATATATATATAAGAAAACAAAATTAAATGGAGCCATTTCATTAAAAAAAATGCTAAACTCTTACCTCTCAAACAAATTAATATTAATAATAGAAAAAATAATCATTTTATAACATCAATTTTAAATTACTATTTAAGATAAACCTCCATGTGTAACGCATTTAAAATATTTTTGACACACATTTGACTAATTAAAATGAAATGACTCGAAGGATATAAAATTGTCACCGTTAAATGTTATCCTAATTCATTTCCTTTACAAAAACAAAAAAAATTTAAGTGTTGTTATTTAGTCTCAAAGTTCAATATTTAATTAAGGAATATTATATTTTAATTTACCATTAAATTATTTATTTGCATACACATAGCAAATTATAAATATGCGCATGTAAATAAAAAATAGTTAATGATTTCTCAAATGGATGTTGTGTTTGTCATCCAACTACTTATTTTTCTTCCTTATACCTTTGGTCATTTTTTAATGGATAGGAGTCATGTGAAAAATATTATCAAAACAAAATAGGAAATACATAAAAATAGGTATAAGAAAATGACATTTAAAGAATTGCCTCACAATTTTATAAGAGTACAAGTAATATTTTATCAAAGTACATATATATTATTTTTATAATTTTACCTAATACCTTTTCACAACAAAACTTAAATAATTATTTACAATAATTTTTCATGATAAGCTTCTATCCCCTTAAAAAAATACAATAAAAGTTAATTAGCGGTGTGCATTCATGTATGTTATAGAGTGTGAGTATGAATGGGAAAAAAATTGATAGATGAGTGAAAAGGTGAGAGGTGATATGAATTTAAAAGGAAGTAAGGATGAATAATATTTTGTAGAGGTCCAATAAAAATTATTTAGTGTCCTTAAAGAAATGTAGGAGAAAAAAAAAAGAGAAAAAAATATAATTCATCATATATTTACAACTTACCTCAAACTTTTTATACTATAACGTTAAAATATTATTTTATTCTCAATGATGTTTCAAGGAAACATCTACAAACAATTTTATAAATAAAAAGAATGATACTTTATTGTGAAATGTATTGAAAAAAAAACATATTTCCAAGTTAGTATTAAAGTTTTTCTCCTCCAATGTTTCAAAATTTTATTTCTCTATACAATCAACTTAACACTTAAATAATTGATGTAAGAAAAATGAACCTTTTAAATCAACATAAATTAACTCATTGAAATGTTGATAGAAAAATATAAAAAAGAGGAATGAGTTGTGAAACTTACTATATTTTTTTAATTTGTTTGAATGAAATTCACCCAAGTTTTCAACGACAAGAAAATTGTATAAAATACAAAAAAGAAAACTAAATAAACACATAAGTATTGTGCATTAAGGTATGCTAATAGAGCATAATAAAATTGATAGGTGAGTGAAGAGGTGATTGAGAAAAAGAACATGGAAGAGAGTGAAGATAAAGTAAACTTTGCAGAGGTTTGTATTAATTACCTAATGTCATTAAAGAAATATAGGAAAAGAAAGAAAGAAGTGAATTAACCATTCTTATAATATTTCAATTTTTTTACAAAAAATTATTTATGTACCTAATT